AGAGTGCCAAACCGGGGGGGCTCGAGCACCCTGAAGGCTCTCCCCAGACCCTTGAGAAAGGAGCATGGTGGCCAGGTGGGCACACAGGGGTGCTATACCTCGCTCCAGGTGAAGCTGTCCAGCCCACCCTCCTCAGGCCGCTCGCTTCTCAGGAGAGTGCCAAACCGGGGGGGCTCGAGCACCCTGAACTCCATGCCCAGAGCCGGGTAGTACGCATTGGGGATGCTGAGGATGCCCGAGGAGAGGGTAGCAGAGCCACCTCCTGGCACTGTAATGTTGTGGACATCCAAGGGCACGTTGATGGGGAGCACAACCAGGCTCACCACCACCCCCTCCAGAGCGTCCACACCGCGGGCTGTGATGTCTGTGACAAACCGGTCACGCTCCTCATTGGGCTTGGAGTGGAGGTAGAGGACTCTGCCACTGTTGATGTCCTCCTGGGTGAAGGACTGGATGGGGTCCAGGCTGGGCTGCTCGTTCACATCCTGGCCGTCCTGAAGCATTGCCAGGAAGCCAGAGGCTGGGGGGCTGCTCACCAGGTAGACTATGTCTTGGGGAGGGATCTCTTCGTGGGTCACCTGAGAGCATGGGGAAAGACAAAACAAGAGTGAGAGGTCTGGTGCCTGCGGCTGGGCTGCCCCACAGACTACCTGCTGTGCATTCAATCCCTCAAGGCTTTGCTGTGGGATGATCTGCAAGAGTCACCTTCTTGCCAAGGCCATGCCTAAACACCCCTCTGCCCCTGGGCAAAGCCTGACGTGGACACGAGACCTTTGCTCTGAGCCAGTTGGAGTAAAATGGAGTCCCATGCATAGCCATCCTAGTTGGCCAGAGAAGAGATGCAGGCATGGAGAATGACTAGAAAAGGGGATACTCACCAGTAAGTATTCCTCCTTGATCCCAGCTGCTTCCCCCTGGAAGACATAGATCTCCTTGTGGTTGACTATGCTCAGGGGACTGGGATGGGTGTCCAAGAACACGCTGATGGCCAGTGTGTCCTCCACTGCCACCTCGTTTGCTTCTACAGTGAACTGGAGCTCATCCCGGGTGTTCCTGCTGCCGTTGTGGTGGTAGGAGATCTCTCCTTCAAGCAGGTCCTTCTGGGAGAAGGCCATGACCGGTTGTTCCCCTCTCAGTATGGTCCCCCACCTCGGGGGGGTTGTTATCAGGAATCGTATCTCTTCATCTGACCTAATGTCCATGTTGGTCTCCAGGTTGAGAACAGAGGAGTCAATGCTCCCTCGGGTGCCCTGGTGGATGACCAGACCGGTATTGTTGACTATATTGATGTAGGGGTCTGATGCCTGCACTTCCAGGAGGGCCGTGGTTTGGTGGAGACCATCCGAGACCTGTAGCTGGATCCAGCCACGGTCAGCCCCTGAATGGACAAAGAGGATCTTCTTCTTCCTCAAGTCATCCTGTGTGAACCGATAGACCTGGTGGCTTCTGTCATCGACAGACACGATGCTGCCAAACAAGATGTCCTTCCTTGCCAGCACCAGCTGTGTGTCAGAGAAGCCGGAGTCCCTGTCAGTGAAGGCAATGTCGTCAGTCGTCAGCAGGTGTTGCCCATTGCGCACCACGTTGAAGACTTTGTTCACTGCCCGGACAGGGATGTGGTCGTTGATGGGTTGGATAGAGACCCTGAAAACACCCCTCACCTCCTCCACATCAGGCTCAGCGCTGCCCTCGCCCTGCCTGATGGCTACGAAGGGGATGTCATCCTCCAGTGTCTCAGAGTCGTCATGCTGGTACAGCAGCCGGCGGTGGAGGATATCGTCATTGGTGAACTCTGTGATCTCTTCTCTGGAGGCCCAGCCATGGGAGGCAGCCCAGGCCAGTCTCCCGTGTGCTGGCCCCTCAATCACCTCATACAGGTAGTCCATGCTGTTCACGCTCTGCACAAACAAGTGATCCTTGGAGATGATGGCCTGTCCCCCTTCCGGCACGGTGAGGAGGACATTGGTCAGCACTGGCGCATCGGGGTCCCCACCGATGCTGATTGTGTAGGTATAGACGGGAGAGTGCTGCTTACCGGCATGGACACGGTACTGGAAGGTGTCCTCGGCTTGCTGGGAGTTCCTGATGGTCACACTGTAGCTCAGGTGGTTTCTCTGCAGGTCATCTTGGGTAAATCCAAAGCCTTCGGTCAGCCTGTTGCCAAGCAGCTCCAGATTTCCCTTTTTGGGAGCCTGTGTGATGATATAGTGGAAGGAGACTGGGGCGGAGTTTGGATCTTCCAACATTGCCTCCAGCTCCTCGCTGGTGATATTTCTATGCCGCTTGTTCTTCATCTGGAGGGGAACCATGGTCCTCATCTTAATGGTGGCTCTTTTAATCCTTATGAGGAAGGTGTTGTTTGGCAAGACCTTCTGCCCCACTTGGACTTCAAATCTCAGCTTCTCCACACTGTCTTCCAGCCGGTGCTCTGGGTCTGTGCTAAAATACTGGATGCGCCCTTGCTCCAGGTCTTGCTGGTGGAAAGACTCGACTTTTTTCCATTCCCCTCCCATGCTCCCTTGCTTCTTGACCTCGCCATACCTTAGGGGCTCTGTGAGGACGTACAGGATGGCGACCCATTGTTCCACAGCGTTCGTCTCCACTGACAGGTTGGCTGTGGTGATGCGTGCGGCCCCTCCTTGGGAGATGGAGAGGCCGGTGTTGTTGACCAGGCGGATTTCGGGGTCAATGGCGAGGATCCTCAGGGTGGCCATGGGGCTCGGGACTGTGCCGTCGCTCACTTGCAAGGTGAGCTGTAAGTTTGTCCCACTCTGGTGCACGTAGACTACGTTGCCAGCTTCCAGGTCCCTGCAGGAGAACTCTTCAATGGGCACTCCGGGGTGGAAGTCAAACTCCACATAACCCTCCTCCATCTGCTGGCCACCATGCACCTGGAATTCGAGGTCATCACAGGATGTGTCATCATCCAGGACCTGCAGGATGTCTGTGGTCAGGTGTTTCCGTGTGTGCTTCAGGATTGTCATGTGGTTCCCACGGGGAAAAATGACCTGTGGGGCATCGTTGAGGGGGTTGATCATGATGGGCAGCAGGTACATCTGCCCCTGCCGCAAGCACTCCGGGACCCCTTGCTGGGTGGTCACTGTCACCTCCAGCATCAGCTGGTCCATGGGTCCCTCAGAGCCATCGTGAATGTATCTGACCTTCCGATTCACAATGTCCAACAAGGTGAACTTCCTTCTGCTCCTGGACCCGGGGATGTCCAGCTCCAGCTGGCCGTGCCTCGGGTCATTGGTGATGCTGAAGAGAATTTGGGACTGACGGATGTTTGCCAGGCTCAAGTCTACTGTTGGCTGTGTGTGTTTCCACTCCAGATAGGCCATGCCCCCTTCGGAGACGATGAGGGGGCTGACATGTAGAAGGCTGCTGATGTTGGCAAAGGCAGGTGGGAAGCTGCTGTCGGGCCGGCATGGTTCCACCACTAGGCCCGGTGCTCCCGACCAGACATTTGGGGGTGGGGAGGTAGGTGCCTCATCCTGCTCATACACCTCCTCATAGTCCCAGTAATGGTCCTGCTTCCCACAGCCTGATGTGATGTCCTTTGTGATCACGGCGTCTTGCAGGCTCCTTCTCTGCAGGTTTATCCGCAGGTCCTCCAGGCAGCCAACGAACGAGTGGTTGGTCATGGTCCACACTGAGATGAAAGCAAGATGATGCTCCCTCAGCCTTTGAAAAGCTTTTTCATTCATACCTCCAATGAAGAGGTTTCCCTGAAGGTCCAGGTAGTTGTTGATGCCCCGGTTGGATGTGGATGAAGCGTAGTAATCTACCAGTATCTCAAACTTGTGGATGTCCGTGTAGACTTTGACGTAGTGCTGCTGCTCGTCACTGATGAAAACGTTGTTGTGCAGGACGATGATGCCGTTCCCCTTCTCCACAAACCCTCGCAGGCGTCCGTTGGAGATCTCCAGGTAGAAGAAGTCGTTCTCCAGCCCTGCGTGGTAGATCAGGGGTGCCTGGGTGATGCTCGTCGTTATCACGAACTCGATGGTTGCTTCCTTTCTCGCATCCCACGTGGGAAACGCGATGTAGGAGTGTGGCCCCTGGAACCCAAATGGGTCCTCAGGCTCTGCAGAGAACTGTGTGCTGCACCCTTCCTGGACATGGTGGAAGATCTTGGAGCTGCCATCAGAGGACAGAGGGGAGAGAACATCCAGGCCGTTGAATGTTACCAAGTGGAGGCAACCCCTGAAGGGAGGGCTGGCCTTGGCAAGGTATGGCAGGTCCAGGCTGCCTGTCCCACCAGCATAGAGGCCATGCTGGATGTCCAGCTCCCTTGCTGGCCCTGCAATGTCCGTGGAGCTGTTGAAGAGGCCGTCGATGGTCAGTGTCATCCTGCCATCTTCCACCAGCAGCTCCACGTCGTGCGCTGCCAGGTTATTGAGCTGCAGCCCTGCTGGGGACTGCAAGGTCACCTCCTCTGAGCCCAGCTGCAGCCTGGCCTGTAGGGAAAGACACAACGTTCTTTTCAGGTGACACCTCTCCACCTGCCCATGGACCCATACCCAGGGGCTCACAAGAGTTTTGGTCTCTCAGTTCATTCCTCCACTTCTGGATGTGCTCCTCCCTCACCCCCCCACGGACATTCCCTCTTTGTCCCACTCTCTGATTTTTTCTCCTTTTTCACTCATTCTCAGAGAACTCCAGTCTCAGGGCTGGGATCCTCTGTCTCCCAGTCCCATAGCTGGGCTTCTCCTCTCACCCCGCAGAGCAGCCCTGCCAGATATTGGCTCTTCCTTCCCTGCTCCATCCTGCCCACTGCCCTCCATCCCTGCAACCTGGGCTGCTTCCAGCCCTTTCCCTAGAGACTGGCAGGGGAAATAGCAGGCTTTGCTTCTGGTGGGCAGCAGCCTGGAGCCTGCCTAAGTAGAGGGTTAGCTGATGGGACACATGGTCTGCATTAGGGACACCTTCAGCCACCGGCTTGCTTGCTCTCCTGCTTTGGTTTAATGTGGTTCGTGGCCCAGCCCAAGCTGCAGAGAGGCAGGATGTGTGCCCTGCTCTTTTCCTTCATGGTGGATGCCAACACCATAACCACAGCAGGGAATTTCATTCCTCTGTCTTGATTGCTTGCTTCCCGTGTCCCATCTGGGACAAGAGAGACCTATTCTTTCTCTGGATCCTCTTATCTCACCTCTTCTCCTCACTAACCCCTCTCATCCAAAGGTGCTGTGCATTGCAGTCTGACTGTGCAATGCACATGGGGTGCCAGGGTCTCGGTGTCCCCACGATCCCCCCCAGCACCCCCCAGGCAGTGGGTGAGGAGCTTCCCTAGATGGAACCTGTTTCTCTATATTTAACCAGTTCTCCCAAGACTCCTCTTGTACTCTTAGCATCCCCTGGCAGGGCTCCTGGCAGCTGGGCTGCCCCTTCATCCTTGTACTGGATAAAGCCATGACCTGACCCACAACCTGACCCACAGACTGACCCACAGCCTGACCCACAGCCTGCAGGGGGGACTGGGGTGCCAGGGTGCTGACCTGCAGGCTGCCGTCTTGCAGCTGGAGCAGGAGGTGGTCGGGCTGGCCGGCGGCCAGGAAGAGCAGCCCAGTCCCCTGGCTGGTGTACAGCTGCAGGTGGAGCCGCATCGTGCGCGAGGCGTCCGCCAGGGGCATCTCCACAAAGCTGTCCCCGAAGAAAGAGACTGGGGAGAAAAGGGAGAAAGAAGGTCAGGCAGGGAAGGACACCTCCTGCAAGCCCTGTCTGTGTGGGTGCCGTGACTCTGGAGCCTCCCAAGCCCATCCATCTGCCCTCTTCTGTTTGCCCTGTGACAGGGTGTTGGAGCTGAGGAGCCTGGAAAGATCCTTGTGGAGTCTGTTTTTCTGATTTTCCTAGAGGAGTCACAGAATGGTGGAAGGAAAAGCTCATCTAGTTCAACACTTCTGCCATGGGCAGGAATATCTTCTGCTAAACCAGAGGACTCCAAGCCCCATCCAGCCTGGTTGAACACTTTCAGGGATGGGGCAGCCACAGCTTCTCTGGGCAACCTGTGCCAGGGCCTCATCACCTTCTAATCAGATAAATTCTGCTTCTCCTCAGTGCTGGAGGAATAAACGTGAGTGCTAGTGATCCATATGTGGCTGTGAGACCGTACAGAAACCTTGGCTCAAAGCGGGCGCCTGGAGATACAGTTGGAACGTGTTCAACACCCAATATACATCAGCCCTGGAGGGACTCATCTCGATGGCATGTGGTCGTGGAATGACAGACTGTGTTACAGGGCAGAGGCAGGAGAGGGTAGGATTAAGAGTACAGGGAGTGTGCTTAAGTTTTGAGTGCTTGTAGTTTTCAGCTGACTCGATGCATGCGTGTGCATTGCACACGTGTTAAATGCACGCAGCCACCCGTCCTCCTTGGCTCCAGCTCAGCCTGTGGCAAAGTTCTGTGCTTAAGCATAAACACTCCAGCCCCGTAAGCTGGAAATGTTTGGGGAGGATGTCACGGAGACGGGGGAAATGCACATTTTTCAGTCCATATGTAGTCACAGGCTCTGCTGGGGTTTATATGTGTGAAGCTTTCCTGCTATGCTTCACTAGAGCATTTATCAAGTCCACCCAGCTGCTGACCCACACTTGGGTTTGGGGTCCCAAATCTGCTTTGCTGAGGTTCCATGGGGCCAACAAGACTAGCATTTGGCTTTAAGGGTCCCAGCCCATTCCCTATTTGGAGGAGGCAGGGGTGGAGGTTGGGTGCCAGGGTGAAACCAGCCTCCTGCACAGTGAGGTCTGGGTGTAAACACTCATGTCTGCCCTTACAGCTGCTTCCCTGGTTGCATTTTCCTCATGCCCAACTTTCTGTGGTGATGACAGGGGTGGGAGCAGGCAATGCAGGCTTTGCTCACAGGCTGGTGCAGCAAGTGAAAACCCAACCCTGCAAGAAACAGCCACCCTGACTGAGGGTTTGGAAGGAGCCCATCTGTAGAGGTGATGGCAAGGGTTAGCCTGGCAGGGAGAGAGTTGGAGCACTCTGCTTTAGCTTACTGCATTTTTTTTCAGAGTTGAGCCCTGTGGTGCCCTATGTAGAGGATGCTCTTCTGACACCTTTGGGAATGGGGAGACCTCCTTGCCCTGGAGACCACAAAAAAATCACTTCCTGCCACTGGCAGCAGAAAAAGTGCCTCAGCTTTCCCCTGGGGTCCGAGAGGATGACGTGGGTGTCTCAAGGACCGTCACTTCACCCGTTCCGGGCAGGGAGGAAAATGGCACCATGGAAACATCTGGCCTTTGCTGTAACACTGAGCCCTTTGCTCAGCTCAGGGCAGGGCTGTCAGGGTGCCTCCTCATTCCCTGGCCCTCATGCCTGCTGCTGGCACGGGGCACTTTGGCTTCCTTGTCCTCTTCGGCCCAGCCAGTGACTCAGAGGAGCTGTGCTATTCTTTGCAGGGCTCTGTCCTCCCCTGACCCGCTCCCTCCTTCCTGTGGTCTTGGCAAAACCAGCCTTGCCCAGTGGCCAAGGGTGGTGGGTGCTGGGGCTCTCGGCACCGCCTTGTCCTGGGGTTTGGTGAGTAAGAGTGACGTGGCACAGCGGAAAAGGGGCTCTCCCTCCTTGCACAGCCACAGGCACACATGCGTGCACATGTGCTCCCCCGAGACATCCATGTACATTTTGTGCTGGCAGCTCCCGTTGGGGCTCCCTGTGTGTGCATGCTCTGTGCTCCAGCTCCCACTGAGATTTTGCTACGTTTTGGTTTTGTGGCTTCCCCTAATTCAAAAAACGTGTTTTTCAGAGGGGTTCTGAGTGGCTGCTCTCATGGGGAGGGAAAGCTTGGCCAGACTGGGCCCACCAGCAGCTCCTGTGCCAGTCCAGGGGCCTGGCAGTGTCTTGCTGTGGGTACTGGGGATGATGGTTTGGGGCCACTCCAGCATAGCCAGCTTGTTTTCCAGTGTGCCAAGGGGCATCAGCTCTTGCATTCAGCACATTTTGTCCTGCCTCCACTCTCCCAAAGTTGCCAGAGATGTTTTTCTTCTCCTTCTCTCATAAAATGCTACTAATAAAAAGCTCCCGGAGGTGCAGATGCCCAGGGGAGTGGTGCCATTTGTTGGGGAGGAGGAGGGACCCTTGCCTGGATCCAGGAGGTGCTGGGATTTTTCCCCGGCAGCAGAGTCCTGTGAGTTACTGCTGTTTGTCTTCCCAAATTCCTGCTTTATTTCAGGGCCACTCTCCACCTCGCTCAACAGCCCAGCCAGGATGTGAACACCGCTCGGCCTGTGACATTTCACTTTCTCAAGGGACCTGCAGCTTCTCACCCCCATCTCCCCTCTTCCTTGCCCTCTATGTTGGAAAAGAAATAGAAAACATGGATTTTTTTTGTTTTTTTTTTCCAAATGCATTTCACCCTGGAGGAGCCTTCATGGCACAAGGTGCCCCATCCTGGTCCATCGTTTGGATCAGGCAAGGACGTCCTATCCCCATCCATGGGTAGGCTCCCCTGAGCATCCTGGGATTGCCCCAGGAGGATGAGCTCCAGTGCCCCAAAAGCAGCTTCCCCAGATGATCTAAGGATGCCACAGGGGGTGTTGTGCCCCAAGGTGACCCTCATCCCTGGATGGAGAAGCCCAAGCTGGCCCTTCCTCTCCTGTCGTGGGGAGCAACAGGTCCCCATGTCCTGGCCATGGCTTGGAGTGGACATCCCATTTGTCCCGGATAAAAATAATGGATGTTCCCAGCTTGCTGTATCCCGCAGGAAATCACTGTCCCTGCCTTGCCAAGACCATGGAAAGGCGTTGACGAGGCGAGAGGAGCCTCCGTCACAGTTTCCGAGCAGCCAGCCAGCAGCCAGCAGATTATAGACTGCAGTGTCATTTGGGTTTGGGGGGTTTTTCTGCGTTGAAAAAAACAAGGACATGAGCCAAAAGCTCTCAGGAAGGGTCTGGGAGTGAGGCCTCGGGTGTGTTCAGCACCTCCCAGGGCCAGTGAACAAGCGAGGGCTCTGTGTGAGCCGGTGCTGCCCCAGCACCCGCCCCAGCCGCCGGCCACGCGCCGGCTTCGGGATGCTTTGGCCCTCTTCCCCTGCTCCTCGAGTTGAAAACACTGCGGGTTTGGCCTCTCCAATTGCTGTTTTTTTGGTGTTCAGGGAGTTTTTTGACACGGGGGAGCAGAGCCTGGGGCTGGGCAGCACCACAGTGGGGAAGGGATCCCCATCCACTCAGGGGGCTCTGAGATGGGGGCTCCAAGAGTGTTTGGGGCTCAGCAGGGCCATCTGGGCTCTCCTCCATGTTTTAACATCTCAGCACACAAACTTCTCCCACCTCCTTCCCAGCACGTAGGAGGATGAAGGAGCCAACTCCCAGTCCAAGCAAGGGGAAATACTCAGAAAAACTCAGTGTCAGGGTTTGCAGAGAGAACCAGCACCAGACACGAAAGGTTTTCAGAACGGGGAGGTATCTCCTGGGTGTGCAGGAGGACGTGAGCTGATGGATGGATGCTTCCCTGCCCAGCATGGGGCATCCTCAACCCTGCCATAGGAAAGCCAGCTGCGTTTTGGGGCACGCAGGAGGTGCTTCAGCATGTTGGGGGTACAACCAAGTCCCTGAGGGGCTGCAGGAACTCCCTGTGGAGCAAACCCTGCCTGGGGATAGAGGTGTGGAGCTGGGGAGGAGCTGGATGCTCAACAAGGCTCCATTCAGGCTGTGGTGGGGGGCAGGTGGAGGCCAGAGCTGGTGGCCGGCTGTGTTTGCAGGGAGGGGACTGGAATTCATTAAAGCAGCTCTGTAATGACCAGAGCGGGTGCCAGGAGAGCACCGTGCAGACACACGCGCCCCCTTGAAAGACTCCCTGTGTTCGCAGCCTCTTCCCGCCCCGGCCACACCGGTTTTCCAACGGTGGAAAAACAGCTGGGAAGTGAAGGCTCCTTGTTGCCTGAACAGCCCCGGGCTTGTGCGGCCGCTGGTGCAGCCCAGCCCACCGGCTGCCCTCCTTCCTTCCCGCCGCCCCTGTCAACAAGCAGCCTTCTGTGCCAGCAGTGTGCCCCGTGCTGGGGTGCTGTTGGAGCAGCCCCTGGGCAACCTGCTGCGCTTCTCCGCAGCCTCAGGAGCTGGTTTTGAGGCCCTCTGGGTTGTTTGGGGTTGTTTTTTTTCAAATTTAAATGACTTTATAAGGTAGCGAGGTCACCTGTTGTGCTGCACCCACCCGCTGTGCGTACACCTGAGGGGCTGGGGGGGATGTGAATACTGAGGGGTGTTCAGGGGGATACAAACACTGGAGGGGCTGGGGGGATGTGAACACCAAAGGGGTTCAGGAGGATGCAAACACCGAAGGGGCTCAGGGGAATGCAAACGCTGGAAGGATTCAGAGGGGATGCAAACGCTGGACGGGCTGGGGGGATGTGAACACCAGAGAGGTTCAGGGTGGGTGTGAACACCAGAGGGGTTCAGGGGGCATGCAAACACTGGAAGGATCCAGGGGGGATGCCAGCACTGGAGGGGCTCAGCAGGATGTGAACACCAGAGGCTCCCGGGGGCAGCTGCCCAGCCCATGCTGCTCAGCAGCTTGAACTGCTCCTGTTCCCACCACAGTGTGTGTACGAAGCTCCCATCCCACTCCAAGCACAGGCAGGGTGGGCAGAACCATCCCTCCTGCTGGCACCGTGGGTGGTCCCGGGGCTCAAGCTCCCTTGCCCCCAACCTGGTCTGCAATGCCCAATGA